CCTAATCTCTCCATTACCTGCTCTTATTGTTAAAACAGGAAGTCAATTACCTTTCTTTTGGCAACTCTATGCTCAAGGATGTATGTTGTATGTAAGCTATGTTTTCTCAAACTCCAATGTAATAGATGACACATCTCAAATATAATCTATTTATTTATACCTAGTATTATATCTCTTAACATTATGCCTGTTTTGTCAAGGTTTGCGTTTTGTGGTTATGGCCGCCTGCTCTCGGTGTCTGATGAATGCAGCGCTGGATCAACACATTAAGTATCGTCAGCTCCTTACAATCCGCTAGTGTGGTCGAAGGTATGTAGAGCAGCGAGCGATTGTGCAACGTCTGATCAACTGTGCGGCATGGGTTCGCGACAATTAACTCATCCTTTTCTAATTCTCATAAATGAGACTAACTCGTATGGGAATACAACAGTCCATCCATTCCTTTATAAACGCTTCCTCACTCTTTTTCCTGATTACAATTGCTGACAAATTACAAATGGATAATTGACTCCGTGTTCATCCTGAATGAGACCTGTACCATGAATGTGCTGCTATAACACTTTAGCGCGATGAGCGATTTTGTGCGGAATGGTCGTGTGCACGATGGATTAAGAACGCGGCGCACATGGTAGTATGTACATAAAGGTTTAATTTTAATATATTTACGGAGGAACATATTGTGGATTCAAGCCAAATAAAAAAAAGTTCTTAAGCAAGTCCTGGTCCCATAAAGCTGAATAAAGCTTTTTAATATAGTTATAAGATGAAGTATTGTTGAGAAACGCAATTTTATAAAAGCCTGTAAAAGAATAATTTTGGATATTTATCACAACATCGGTCGTGCACGATGTCGCGAACATGTTGAGCAGTATAGTATTCGTGGCCGAATCCGCTGCTCAAAATAGCTTTGATTACTACCTGTCGTACGCAAATATCTTATTCTCAAACTGTAGTGCAGAATGGGGTAAGGAGATTTTACCTGACCTGAAATCCACGCTTCCTGAAAGTACGATTGTGCTTGAAAAAAACTCTATTTAATCCTTGTTGTTGCGCTTTTACTTTCAAAATAGCGTAGAATAATATAGTATACAATGGAGGTTGTGGTGAACTTCACTAGCTAGTTCACCACAACTCTGTTGTTCCCTCGTGAAGTACAATGAAGGACGAGCAAAATTCCGATGTCTGCTTTTTCGGTCCGCTTGAGACAAGGTTGTGCAAACTTTCAAAATCTGACTTTGGACCTCCGTATTGGTTTTGCAGGCTTTGCACGAGTTTGTGAGCAGCCTCCTTTCTCTTTCGCAGTAATTCGTTCCGACAGTCACCAATGCAGTAATGTGGAGAATCATTGTTGCGTCTTTTCTACTAAAATTACCCTGATTCAGCTGTGACCAGAAAATGTACAGTGCGTAACAAATATTTGAAAATTTCATATACATTGATAAAGAAAAAAGAGATAAAATCGCTGTGAAATCTTCTTTATTAATAGCTTCTAGCACGTTCCGGAGCCTGAAAACTCATTAAATAGGTGGTGAGCGTGAAAACATGTGTTTAAGAAATAAATGACGTAGGAAATTGCAACTGATATCGTAAAAAATGTGTAGAAGATTGAGCTATAGGTATGTACGATCTTATTTGTTTCCTGCATTTCCAAAACAGTGAATAGTTTAGCTTTGAATACTCTAGGTTAAAGTTCTATACTGTACAACCTTCAAAAACAAAGTAAATGAGATTCTACTCTTTTTGACTTCTCGATAGAATTCCATCAACGAATGTCCGACTCTCGTCATCTTTGACTCTCATCTTATGAGAAAGCACTACGACTCACTTTGGTAAAGCAGTCCAGGAGTGAATGCATAACCGCGGTTCAGTCCATAGCCGTATACGGTGACACTAAAAACGTCATGGTAACTGATGATAGGGAGTTGATTACTTTAATCTACTTGCTACCCACCCGAAAGTGATAGGTGCCCACTTTGTGTCTGGCCCAATGAACGACACGGTGTGTTGTCCTGCTTTTAACGCTACATCAACATAGTAATAGTTACTGCGGCCCATCCTGAATCACTTATATTGTGTAGAGTTTGACATGAGGGCAAGTCATTGCTTAGAAATGATTCATAATGTTTGTAGGTGTGAGCTCAAGTCATGCCATAAACTTTGATTTTGTAGGAGTAGGAGTTTATGGACAAAAAGACCTAGGGTCTTGAAGTCCGAGAATAGAGCTAAATTGCGTAGATGAAATGAATTCTGAATTAAATTCATTACTGCAAACAGTGAACAATTTAGTAGGGTTATATGAAAACCGCTTAGAAAGCAATAGAATTTGTGTTTTTAGACGGTTAAGATGTACAGTGAAAAGATTCATATTATTTGATATTCTATGAAAAGTTCATCTGTCTGCAAGTAGGATTTGTCTTAGTCTATCGTAGTGGAGCCCTGGTGGGGTAATTTGAAGAAACAAATATCATACCATTTGCTAAGTTTAGGACAAGTCGCATTCTTTCTAGTTGCAAATAATGATCCTCTGAAGGTATTCTCTAAATAGTTACAAATCTAAGTTTTTTTGAATTTGAAAAAAAGACACTACGTCTATTCCTTTTCATAATGATAAAAACTAGGTGGGAATTTACTAATAACAAATTGTTGGTGAATTTATGTGGAATGCGTAGCGAATGGCTGCAGTGATTCGGTATGTATTACTTTGTATAAACTTCCAACATTCACACAACTTCTGACTAATGACTAATTAAGAAACATTTACCTGACGTAAATAAGTCCATTAGGAACGTAATTGTCAACTTTGACGGTTCCAATGCATGATAATGTGGAGCATATCACACGAACGTAATTTTGCAGGTTCAGTTGCTCATCAATAGTCGTAGCCACTCTGCAAAGCTTTTATCGGCATTTAGCTAAATTACTCGCTAGATTTACTTTTGATTTGCAATGTTGCTTTCATCTCAAAAGTAAAAACTAAGCAATTCGATGGATAAAATGAGGGTTGCATAACACTTTCCAACGTTTGATTGAAAAGTTTTGCACCTGCCTTTAACTTTTGATTGATGGCATCTGAATACCAATTAGTATAGAGGCCATACCAATTAGTTTAGAGGCCATTACTTGAGTTACTGGGTTGATATTGCCTGCTTAGAAGTGATGTGGCCTTATACTCAAAAGAAACTTACGAGAAGGTGTATGGTCCTTGTCCAAAACTGCTGCTTCCAGGCACGTTTGCGAAGAATGGTGCGCCTTGGTTTTGTGAATTTACGCTACCTACCTAAAAATAATCGCATTGATTTAATCCTTATGGTCTGATATA